TTACTCTGAACTAGAACCTTATCAACAATATATATGGGAAAGCTAATTTCGTTTAATACTTGGCTCCATGGTAAAGCAAATTTCATTTACTACTTGGCTCCAAGGATTTTTAAAACTTTGTTAATGTACTGCTATGGCTAAAATGTGCACATGTGCTGGAAACTTAGTCCTCACTCCAACAGTGTGGAGAGGTAGGACCTTTAAGAAGTGATTAGGTCATGAGGGCTTTGCCTTCAGGAATAGATTAATGTCATCATCACAGCAGTCAGTTACTGCAAAAGTGGCTTTGTTATAAAAGTGAGCTCAGTTCCCCTTTGCTCTTATTCTCTCATGCACATTCTCTTGCCTTTTTGCCATTGGATGGTGGAGAAAAAGGCCCATGAGAGATGTCATACCTTGATATTGGACTTCCCAGACCCTAGAACTCTGAGAAATAAATGTTTTTCTTTATAAATGACTTGCTTTGTGATATTAATGTCATAGCAATACAAAACAGAAGACACAGGGCAGCGCCTGTGGCTCAAGGAGTGGGGCACTGGCCCCATATACCGGAGGTGGCGGGTTCAAACCCAGCCCCAGCCAAAAACTGCAAAAAAAAAGAAAAGAGAGAGAGAAAACATATAACATGAAATAAAAATTGTCAGTATGTCAGTCTTGAGAATACTTCTTATAATGTTAAAGGTATAGTTGACATACTCTAGTTGGGGTTCATGATGAAGTTAACTACCTAATGACTATGAGACACTCTAACCAGAGCAGTTGTACATGAAAGGTAAATAATCTTACCTCACCAATTACCCACTATCTAGCCCTGCATCTGGAAAAATAAGCAAGCAATTAATCAGTGTTAACCGAATACATGAATAAATTTTGAAAAACAAAACAAACAAATCAGAATAATTTTTAAAAGTTTCAAATAAAGAATCATTTCAGCCCAAAGTTCCTCAGGTTCCTGGTAAATGTTATCACTCCAGTGGTTTAAGTTCTTGCCAACATACTATAGTCCTACAAAACGTGTTAAGATTTAATGACAGGATTCAACTATGAAAACAAGCATCTTTTATTTATTCCTTCTGCAATGTTTATGTTTCAATGTTTATATCCTATATTATACACTAATACTGGACTAAATGTCCAAAGTAAGCTTAATCAACAATGGTAGTTAAATGCACACAAAGTTACATATTAGTGTTACTAAGTGGTTTGTGATATCACCGAATCTTAAGAGTTACAAGATCGCAGTCATCTCTGGTCATCTCTTCCAATTTAATACAGGAGTTTGTGCTATAATATTCCTAGCCAGTGAACTACGGTGTTTTGACTGAACTACCAGAAAAGCATCCAAACTGATCTACTTCCAGGCTTATCCATTTCCTACTCATTCTCTATCAGTGGCAAGCAGAAACTACTTTACAACTCAAATTAGATCATGCTACTTCCTACTTGAAACTATTTGGAGGCTTCCACCTACAAACTTCATGACCTAGCTCCTGTTCACCTCTGAGACCTCCCTTCACTCCACAGTGTATTCCTTACTGCCACACAAGGACTTTCCTCCAGAGTGTGCTTGCTCCTGGATCTGCTGCCTAATCCAATCCTCTTCACTCCTCCCTCCAAGACCAGCTTCATACATCAGATATCAGCTTATAAACAGAAATCTCCCCAGAGGTCTTCTCTCCCCTATATGTTTTCTTCATAGTGCCTATGGCAGTTTTTAATTATTTATTTGCTTGTTTTTGGAACCACCTTCCCCAACAGACCATAAGAATGCTTCATAAAAACTGGAAACTTATCTGCTTATTACTTTCCAGGATCCAAAACAAACTGGAGGCACTCATTAGATACCAACTGAATTTATGGATGGTTATGCATCCACGGTGCAGGGAAGACTTACTAAATAACAAACCTCAGTTTTTCTTTTTCTGAACTGAAATCTGTCCTCTAGATCTTACATTTCCTGCTATAGTCGGCCAAATCAGGGCTGAACTCTTGAATTTAAACTACACTGGAGCTTTACCTTCGGGTATTAGTCTTTTTGATTTGTCACGAACACCTCTGATAAATCCTTTGAAGGTAATGGCGTTCTCTCTCCTCAAGAAAACAGCTCATCCCATACAACAATATAACATTTGAGAGGTTTCACCCACTCCTTTCAAGACCATCTCAGATCCAAGACTAAAATTCTAACCTGAACAATGAGGAGAGGATTCAATGGATAAAGGTTTTGAGAACTCAGGTCTTCAAAAATTAAATCTAAGAGAAGACTACAGATCAATTTATAGGGGGGGGGGAGGATATGTCAGATGCTTTCACATTACCTCAACTAGGAGGGTGCAACTGGCATCAGAAAATTTTCAAATCTAAAAGAAACTTGAAAATCATCGTCCCAAAAAGCCCCCAAAGGGCTTGTCCAATGTCACTCACTCGTTAGTGCTCAAGTCGGGACAAGAAAGCAGGTCTCTGGTCCCCCAATCTGGAGATCTCTTTCCACTTTTATCTCGCTAGTTTCTTGCACTGCGCGCCCAAAGTGCCAGTACTCTGAGGAAAGGGAGGGAGCGGGGAACAGAGAAAAGGCTGGGAAGAGGAGGAGAAGGCAAGATAGACGTGGATGGGTCACTCTCTTCCCACTCGCCGAGAAGCTTGCAACACCGGGGAGGGCAGCACCACTGGCAGCGCTCACCTGTCTGGGGCCCAAAGGCGGGTAGTGCGGTCCCGGGACACCGACACAAAGGCCCCCGGCGGATAGCGGCAGCACACCAGGCCCCGCACGTCCAGCTCATGGCCCGGGAGCGAGCAGCTTAGCCGGTACTTGGTGGCGCCGCTCGCCATGGCCAGTGTCGGTCTGGCGCCGGGCCCGGGCACCGCGCGAGGTCAGTCCGCAAGGGAGACCCGGCGTGTGCCGGGCGGCGGCGGTAGAAGGGCCTGCAGGTAAGCGGCGGTCCGAGACCGGAAGAGCCCGACAGCCGGTGCGGAAAGGTGGCCGGGAAGAGGCGCGCCGAGCCGGCCGAGTGACACAGCAACCCTCCTATGCACACCGGAATTCATCATCGGCCTCAGCCTGCCATGACGCAGAGCGTGTGCGTCCCGCCCGGGAAGGCCGACGCCGAGGTGCAGCGTCCTCCCTGCGCTCCGGACCGCTAGCTGCAGCCCGGCCTTTCCGTCTGGGCACCTGAATCCTGAGTCACGTCCAAACCCGCGTTCTTCCCGACCCTCGGCGAATTTTTTGTTGTACCGCGGCCCCGGCACTACAAATCCCACAATGCCGTGCGCCGGTGGGGCCGGAGCAACTGGCGCGCCGAACCCGGATATTTTAAATCTGGTTTCCCCGCGCCACCCGTCTCTGAGTGGTTGAGTGAGATTGCTTGGTAATTTGGGGGAATCCTTACCCTCTTTCCACCAGAATCCGCTAAGATTTTTGCTAGTAAACCTCTTCCCATTAAAACCAGAAAGCTTGAGGCCAAGATGATAACAAACGCGGTGGTCAACGTCCATTGGGGCTGGATTTGATCCCGCCACCTCTAGCATCTGGAGCCAGCGCCCTACTCCTTTGAGCCATAGGCGCCACCGGTTAACATCCGTTCTTAGAAAGGGTGTCTACTTTCATCTGGCACCTTGTTAAAATGTAGATGCTGATGATTTAGTACGTCTCGGGTAGAGCTGAGAATGTATGTTTTTAACAAACTCCCGGTGATGCTGTTTTCTACGGAAAATAAAAATCTCAGGACCGCCCAACCCTTTGTACAAAAGGGAGGGTCGTTCCTGGAGCTTAGTTATGCAACACACCTTCCAAATTAACATTATGTATTAGGCAGAGCCCCAGAAAAGTTAAAAAGATTAAGGCATCTATGAAGTACTGCTCCCATAGATGATTCCTCAGGAAATTTTCTCCCATAAACAAGGGGTTGGTGCCTGTGGCTCAAAGGGGTAAGGGGCCAGCCCCACATGCCAGAGATGGTGGGCTCAAACCCAGCCCTGGCCAAAAATTGCAAAAAAAAACCCCAAAAGAACAAGGACATGCATATTGTAATTTAAGGTCTGCAGGCTAAGCCTCACTTCTAAAACTAGTCTCATTCCACACTGATAATGTGAATTACAAGTTTATCTTCCCAGGTAGAGAACAGAAATCAGTAATTCCTCCACCTACCCGGAGATGTCTGCATAATTGACTCTTCTTTACTCTATTTTTCTCTTCAAACTTTCATCTTATGTAAAAGATTTCCTGGGGGCTAAGTTAAGAATGTTAACTATTCTCTTTACATCCCTTTCCTACACGCTTATCCCCCACCCTTCCCGTTTAAGAGACTATTTAAACACTAAACCTTCTGTAAACCTCTTTGGAGAAAACAGTTACAGATGCATCTGTGCTTTGTGTTTTTCCTAGAGCTGACAACATCCTCAATTGATTGAAATCCTTCCCTCAATCAATCATTTTGGGTTGTCCTATTTCATCATTGGACCACCGTTGAGTGCAAGGATCTACTTGATGTATAACCTTACTTTGCTTCCCTTCCACCCACTGTGCTCTCGCATCCAATTCCATCAGCTCCTCTAAATTGCTAAGTCCATTCACACATTTCTGATTTCTCCTATGTGGAAACTCCCACTTTAGGTCTGGAATTACTATTGTGCTATTTGGTTTCCTTGCCCTAAGTCCTAAAATATTTACATTTGTTAACTCTTCTGCCATGAATCTTGTAAGGATAGAGAGGGAAGCCCAAAGTTAGGCCCAGGCAGAAAGGAATCAGAAGGGCCTGACTAAAGTTTTGGTCACAGGAGAGAGTTTTTGTCACCCCCTTCTCGCTTTTTTGTAATTTTTACCTTCCCTGATTCTACTGACCACGTGCTTCACTCCTTTCTCTTATTCTCCCTTTAAAATGCTCTCAGTCTGATTTGGCGCCTGTAGCTTAGGGCACCAGCCACATACACTGGAGCTGGCCGGTTAGAATCCAGCCTGGGCCTGCCAAACAGCAATGACAACAACCAAAAAACAAACAAAAAAAAAAGCGGGGCGTTGTGGTGGGTGTAGTCCCACCTACTTGGGAGGCTGAGGCAAGAAAATCACTTAAGCCCAAGAGTTGGAGGTTGCTGTGAGCTGTGACATTACAGCACTCTACGGAGGGTGACATAGTTAAGACTCTGTCTCAAAAAATAAAATAAATAAACTATCTCAGTCCACTCTGTACAAATTGAGATTGAACTCAATTAACAATGGACTCTTTTCTCTATTGCAGTAGTCAAATATGGATTAAAATCTGTCCTCCCTACTTTAGTATAGTATTTTTTCCATCATTGACAATGCAAATATGTATATAATTATAAACTATAATGGGTGATATGCAGTGTTAAAATAATTAAAGGGGAAGTCATTAGACTGAGTAGCTCTAGCATCCAGAGTTACTACATAAGGAAAATGAAACTTAAACCCAGCCATTCACAGATAACCAATTGGCCAAGCGTTATATTTTCTTGAGCATCCTACCAGAACAGTCCTAATAAGCCAATTGCTTACTTTATTTTTTTAGTGATAGAATCTCACTCCGTCATCCAGGCTGGAATGTAGTGATGTGATCATAGCTCACTGTAGCCTTGAATTTCTGGGCTCAAGCAGCCATCATGCCTCAGCTTCCTGAGGATCTGGGACTACAAGTGTATGCCACCATGCCTGGCTAAGTTTTACAATTTTTGTAGAGACAGGGTATTGCTATGTTACTCAGGATGATACAGAATTCCTGGCCTGATGCGATCCTCCAGCCTTGGTCTTCCAGAGTGCTGAGATTATGGGTGGTAGCCACTGTGCCCTGTCTAACATCTAACCAGTCAAATAATTTCTGTGCTCTGCTTCTGCATTCAACCTATTTCCTTTCAACTATCTCTGGCACAGCCCCTAACCACTTGGAGTTGCTTAATTCATGAATTACTGTCTGCTCAAATAAACTATTAAAATTTCTATGTGCCAAAGTTCCTCTTTTAATAGTAGAAAAATACAGGGCACACTGACAACATATAAACATGTTGGAGAGTAAGGGGAAGGTAGAATGAGAGTTAGAAACCTCTTTGAAGAAGGAAATTTGGGTTAAGACTTGAATAATGAATAGGATTTCTGACATTGAAGAACAGAAGAACAAGGATCCCAGGAAGACTAGCAGTGGAAAGGTCTAGAGACAGAAAGGAACCTGACAAACAATTATTAAACCTACAATTAAACCTACAACATTTGATGTTAAACAAACCTACAATTATTTGATGTAACTTAAGGTACTTAAGTTACAGATCTAACATACTCTGACCCAAAAGTTAAATAAAATATGGTGCCAACTCTAGAGAAGCTCATAGTCTAATAAGTGAGGTGTATTCCTATTCTTTACTTTTCACCATGAAAAGAGCATGGGTACAGGGATCACTCCTTATTACCCAAATGATTTTAAGGAAATTATTTAAGTTCTTTAAATCTTAGATATGACATCTACTCTGCCAATTTTAGCTATTACATATGTCAGGGTTCTTAATTACAAACAACAGAAACTATCTATGGATGATTTAAAAGCAGAAAAGGAATTTAATAAAGGATATCAAATAACTCACAGACTATCCAGAAGGCTGAAGAAATAGGCTAGAGGTTATACTCCTAGTAAAACCCTAAGCATGAACACAGTAGCTTACACCAAAACACTGACCCTGGATATTGGTTAGGGCTGATAGAATTTTGCTGTCTTGGAAACACCAGCCTGAGAAACAGATGTAGTTTCTGTGGCTTTCACTCTCCCTCCCTGAAGTCTGGCTTCTGGTTGGTGTTCAAGTTTTGGGTAGGTGCATCAGAATAGATTGAAGAGTCTAGCAAACAATATGTTTATGTCCCAGTGATAAGGAAGCCTAAGAAAGCCAGTATCAGTCATTTTCAGTTCCCATTCCGGTCCAGCAAAGGACAACTCTGCCAACCTGGCTACAAAATGGCCAAAAGGATGCTAAATGACCATTGCAAATAGGTTGGAGTCATATGAGATAAGCATGTAAAAATGTTTTACAAACTTTTAAAGGAGGACTCAGCCACGTGACACTATTTCCTTTTGTATTGTATTGACTTTTTAATTCCTTGAAAATAGGAGAATGAACCTTAATGTAAATAACATATGAAAATTGGAAATGTGTACGATAATGTTAAAAATCCCAATTTGTATGCAATCCCATTTAAAGAGTTGAAACATAAAAAGTTACTTTGTTAGAGAAGTGAGATTTGAGGTGAAGTCGTTCTTAAGTTTTTTAAGTAATTCTTTTAAGAACGTTTTCTACTTAATTCACAGCCTTCCTCATAAACTTGGCTCAAAAGAACTCTGATGAAAGGAGGCTTAAAGATGCAAGGCTTCCAATAAATAAGGAGGAACAGAACAGACGGTGCCAGAATCGCATTCATACCAATGTTATATTATATAGTCTTAATAAGAAGGAAAACTACCACTAATTAGGGGTAAACAAAACAAGTGTGCAATGCTGCCTACCACGGAGTAACTTCAAACAAAAATTTGATCCGTTACGGAGTACCAGTCTTGAGGTTACATAAGGATAGAGAAAAATTCGCTAGAGTTGGTTCAAGTAAGGCACATAGAGGTTGCTCTGGTTATCAAGAACACTCAATGTTCAACTAAAAAGTTCTCTTCCGTTTTCCAACCTGTGTAGTTCTCCGTTTCTTCCACAAAAGCACTAAAGAAGTAACACAAACACAAGTTACTTCTCGAATATCGCGACAACATTTAGTTCTCGCTCGGCTCACAGGTACCAGAAACAGAGACAGCCGATTGGCCAATCCGGCTGAGAGACCGCCTCCAGCCCGCCCCCGTTGCCGGGATACGCGGCCGCGGGTAGTGTAGGCCTGAGGGCCGAGGAAAACTGCGCGTGGGCTAACCTGAAGCTGCGAGTGGGCGAACCGATGTGCGCAGCCTGAGAAATAAATTCGAGAGCCCAGGCCGGAGCCTTGCGACTGCCCTCCTGCTGCGCCGGCGGAGGTGAGAAATCCCGCATCCCATGTTGTTTTCCCTCTCTCCTGCGCGGGATATCTTACCTTGGAGACACTGATCTGCTCCAAACAAAACAAGTTCAGATGCTTCTGTTCTTAGCTGTTGCTTTCTGGGTCCCTCGCCATGCGGGGCAAGTCCCCAACTGTGGTCTAGCAAACGGTGCCTTAAAGTCAACCTTCCCTGCTCCCCTGAGGAGACCTATCAAACCGAGACCAGAGGGAAAGATCCAAGAGCCTCAGAGAGAAAAATCACTGTGGGCTGAAGGATTTTACTCGAAGTAATAAATTTCTATCATATGGTCACAGTGGAAGGGCCATTTCTGCCGGTCACAGTGGAGGAACTTAGCATCTTTCCACTTTACGTATATGAAAACGACTGGCTTAGGGAGCATAATGATCATGCTAATTATTAGGAACCGGACCAACAGCTCCGAAAGGTAGGACTCACTGCTGCACTTCTATTTTAGAGGTGATGAAACATCCTCTGAGGCGTTAAGTAAAGTGCCAAAATTATACAGCTAGTCAGAGCTGGAGTTTGTATTCCTAATCTTTCTGGAACCAGAGGTCAGGCTGCTTCTATGATTGTGTCAATAATTGGCTGAATATAACCCCAAAGTTAGTGACATCTTTGTTATTAAAGCATCTCCTTCTCCTTTTCTTAACCCAATGGGACTGAGCTAATGGAAGGATTTTTTTCCACTACAGTAAAGCAGTGGCAAAGAAAATTGGGTGGAAGTTCGGTATATTGTACATTTTCTCAACGTTATCAGGAAAGCTAGAGAGTAATAGTGACTGATTCCACTGGAAGCAGAATTTTATTGGATTAGTTTTCTTTTGGAGAAACCGTTTTGATTGTAAACTTTGTCTTCCTTTTAAAATGTCATTTCATGAAACTCCTTTTTCCATTTGAAATTATTCTTTTGTTTTGTCTGCAGAGTTCAAAATGACAAGAAAATAGAATCAGGAATCTAGACACGATGGGAGAATTGTTAAGTTTGGTGTGAACATATCCAAATTAAGTGATAATGGGATATGTGAATGGAAATTTCCAGTAAATAATTTTGAAAATTTATAATAATTGATGCCCAATTAAAAGGACAGAACTGGAGAAACTAATCTATAAGCCATCTGTAAGGTTATAAGGGTGGATGATTGCAAAAAGATGCAGTCCGAGGACTGATCATGGATTTAAAAAAAATAAAAAATCCAGAGAGGGTACTGGGCATGAGGTGTAAGAACCATTGAGTTCAATAAATGCTTTATTTTGTTTTTAACAATTTAGTAAATTTTATAATTGGCAGCATTTTCATGTAGGAGAAAACAAAAGGTACAAAAGAGAACAGAAAAATTCTGCCTGTCACTGAGGTAGATCCTTGGGGTATAAAGATGAATCAAATTTAGCCTTTCCTGGCTCGGCACCTGTAGCTCAAGTGGCTAGGGCACCAGCTGGAGCTGGCAGGTTAGAATCTAGCTCGGGCCTGCCAAACAACAATGACAACTACAACCAAAAAAATAGCTGGATGTTGTGGCCAGTGCCTGTAGTCCCAGCTACTTGGGAGGCTGAGGCAAGAGACTTGCTTAAGCCCAAGAGTCTGAGGTTGCTGTGATCTGTGATGCCAAGGCACTCTACCAAGGGCAACATAGTGAGACTCTGTCTCAAAAAAAAAAGTTTTGTTGTTTTTTTTTAAATTTAGCTCTTCCCAACAAGGGAGGAAATACTTAAGCATATTCTTTCAATTGGTGTGATAGGTACTGAGCTAAAGATGTACATGGTAAGATATCTATCAAACAGGCCTATAAACCCAAATTGAAGAAGGTATAAGGGTGGTTGTGAACAGGAAAAGTGTTTGTTAGGAAAGGAGATGCTGGTATAAAGGTCTACTTGGGTCAGTGATGCTCTAAACTGGCCAGTGCTATAGGAATAGAGAGAAAGATACCTATTAAACATTTATGAATAAAATCAGTAAGAACCCTACCACTACCACCAAAAATCTAAAAACCTCTATAGGACTTTATGACCAGCTATGGGAAGTGAGGGAGAGGAAGAAGTCAAAGACTAAGTTTGTGACTTGTGTGACTAAGAAGTAGTTACCAAGAGGAAGAGCAAATTTTGGAGATATGGTAATGAGTTTGGATTACATATGTTTATTCCAGAATATGTAGATAACATCTAAGTGGAGATATTAAGTAATTTGAATATGAGCACTTCAAACTGAGTGAGAAAGGTCTGGACTGGAGATACGGAATTATGAGTCATCAGCTTATTAAGTGTTGAAACCCTGAATGTGGATGAGGTGACCCAAGGAGAACTTAGAAGAAAAGTTGATTGTGGATGGTATCATAGTGAATGCTGCTATTTAAGGACAGATCAAAAAAGAAGATCCAGAGGAGGAGAGTGTCATGGAAATGGTTTTATGTATAGTAGGCAGAGGTTATTTGAATGAAACAGTAACAATCCAGAGATAGGAGTCAGTGGAAACTGAAATTGTAGAGAATAGTGGATAAAAAGTACTCTTAACAATTTGGCTGCATAAGGGAAGGATATATGGTACTAAGTTACAGGTGGTTGCAGGATCACAAATTAGTTTTTGAAGTTAGGAAAGAGTTGAATATGGTAACAGACTGAAAGAAAGAAGAAAGTTTCAAGGTATAAGTAGGAGTAGGGATAATGCTTCAAAGGAGATGGGATTAAAAGGGTAGATCAGAATAGGGATAGATCTTGAACAAGAAAAGGGATGGCTATTAAGATTGTCTCATTGGGAGGCGCCTGTAGCTCAAAGGAGTAGGGTGCTGGCCCCATATGCCGGAGGTGGCGGGTTCAAACCGAACCCTGGCCAAAAAAATGCAAAAGAAAAAAAAAAAAATAGCCAGGCGTTGTAGCAGGTGCCTGTAGTCCCAGCTACTTAGGAGGCTAAGGCAAGAGAATCACTTAAGCCCAAGAATTTGAGGTTGCTATGAGCTGTGATACCATGGCACTCTACCCAGGGCCACATAGTGAGACTCTGTCTCAAAAACAAACAAACAAACAAAAAAAGATTGTCTGATCAAGGATAAATAAAACAATTTCTGACATAAGGGTCCAGCTAAGATTGGTGACTATCACTTTGCCATATTCCAGTCCATCAGCAATGTTCAGCAATCCAGTTTGGATGTAAAGGAGGGTTTCTGATTTTGCCAGATGGCTTAGAGAAGAGTTTGAGGATACAAAGTAGTTGTTGGTGCTGATGAGACAGTAGTTTCATGTGGAGAAGGAAGAGAGTCCTTGAAAGTGCTCTTGTCAAGGTCACTACCAACTCCTTGGATAGGGACTTCAGTGGACATTTCACTTTTTATCTTACTTGAATTCCCAGCAGTAAATTGCATAGCTGGACATTCCTGCCTTCTCTTGGAATCTCTGACACACACTCCTGGTTTTTCTCTTTGCTTTCTGGGCTTTTATGTTCAATTTCTTATGATAGTTTCTCCTTTCCTGTGTGAGCTATATGTATTGATATTCCTCAGTACAGAATCTTGGGCACTATTCTCTTTTTCTCCATGTTTTCTCTCTAGATCTGTATCTTCATAACTCTTTTGCATGATTTACAATAGAACAAACATTTTTGTTACAGTCCAGTACATCCATTTGTAAATTTATATGAATATAACTGAAACAAAATATTTTATGAAACAATATTTATCCTTCACATGTTCAGTAAACTATTTTAATTTTTATGTTTTATTTCATGTTTAGAACATATTGGTCATAACCTGCCAAATTGTTTTCATAATCCACTAGGAAATTATGACCAAAAAATTGAAAATTGCTACTCAATAAGTTGTTAGGCAGAATTTTAAGTAATATTATATTCTGATAAATAAAGGGAGAGGGGCTGATGACCTGGAGAGAATTAATGAATTATGGAAATGGTTTAAAGGCAGATACAGTGGGAATAAAGATGATGAAAGGGTAGAAGGAGAGAAGAGTAAGGTCAGAAAATAAAGTATTTCAATTAAGATGTTTGAGATAAAACAATTCCAGATGATGACATGCTCCATGTCTGTCCATGGCTATGAATAACCAAAACAGAGTTAAGATAGTTACTGAATTGAATTCAGGGAACTGTAAATCTAGTATATAAAGTATTGGATATATATCCAAATGGAAGTCATCTAGGATGATGGTAAGATTAGAAAAGAGAAGCTGTGAACTAGGTACAAAAGACTTTAGTAAAGGTGGAAGAGAGATAATGAGGTCACTAGGTAACCGCAACCAGAAATGATCAAGGCAGTATGGTTGCATTCCCTAATCCTCAAAGGAAATAAATTCTGTTCTTTTTTATAATAATAATAATTATTATTATTATTATTGGGGATTCATTGAGGATACAAGAAACCAGGTTACACTAATTGCATTTGTTAGGTAAAGCTCCTTTTACAATGGAACGCATTATTCGTAGTAAAGCATCACAAGAATGGAAAAGCATGAATCCTATGTATCCTGTTCATTTTTTTAAAGATGTGGAAGAGAAATGTTTTGAAACTGACACTGTTGAGCAAGGAGAATGCCACCTCCTTTGCTTTGAAATTGTGGAACAAGAAGCTAAAACAGCCTTCACTACTGAAAGTGTTACCTTCAAGAGAAGCCAGGATTCTGTTAAAGTAAAGACTAAGTAATAGGAAGCACTTGAAACAAGATTGAAAATATAGGAGAGTTAATCATGGGCCATAAAGAACAGAGGAAAGATTAACAGAGAAGAAAAATGCTGGATATGTCAGGAGAGACAACATACACCAGAGTATGGGATGAAAACAGAAAAGAGATAACTAGATGGGCTTGTGTTTTGATGAGATACTAGAGAGATGAGGATGGACTGTTGTAATAAATGTTAGTTCTAAATGGAACGTTAATGTCACATTTGAACAAAATTAAAGCAGGCTAACCTTGGTAGTGTTACCTGGAATGGCAATTTCAAGAAAAATTATTGTGAATTAAATCTTTGAAGTATGGGTATCATGGGGCATTAATGTATTGCTCCTTTGATTAGAAGAAATCAAAAGAAAATTGAACTATGTATTATTTCCAAACAGGGTTTAAAGTGAATAAACAATGGCCAATAATAACAAACCTTCAGGAAGTCGCCCTGTTTCACGAGGTGGAATTGGGTTGACAGGAAGGCCTCATTCTGGAATACGACCCCCATCAGGAAATATTCGAGTGGCAACTGGAGTAAGTTTAAAACTTATCTTTTGAATATTTATGCATGTATTTTGGTCTAAGTTAGAAATCCTCTTTATAATAAGAAATTCTACTTTATTATTCCTTTATAAGCATATAATTATACATTGTTTACTTTTTGGAAAGCGTCTAGAACAGCAGTTCTCAACCTGTGGATCATGACCCACAGGAACTGTATTAAAAGGCTGCGGCATTAGGAAGGTTGAGAACCACTGATCTAGAAGCATAAATGTGGAAGAACTTTGTAAGTGAGGTAAGATGGCTGTTTTTACAGATACTCAAACTTATTTTAAAGTTGCAATAATTTAAGTGGTATAATATATATTGGTTTCAGAATCAAATGAAGCATAATAGTACAGAAACTAAATCAAGCATATTTAAGAATTTAGTTGATGATTAAGATTGCATTTCAAATTAGTTATAAAAGCATGGTATATTCAATAGAACATTTCAATAGCTGGTAAACTGTTTTAAAATATTTTTGATCCCCCTCACACCTTTTGCTAGAACTTGGTATAGCTTAGAAACTTGATATTTTATAAATGAAACTATAAATGTACTAGAGGAAATTGTAGGCCAGTATTTTTTATAAGCTTTCTAAAAATGACAGAAATACCAAGTGCTAAAAAGAAAAGTATCTTTATCTTTATATACTTAAGTTTATAAAAACTGAAAACAATAAAAAATAAAGAGAAATGGCAAATTGGTAAAAAAAAGTTTTATAATATACATAGAGTTAAGAATATTAAAATTAAAAAGCAAACTTTTCTAATTTGTAAGAGCTCTTTCTATCTTGAGGCTATAAACCTTATGCACAGTCAAAATTTCATGAGATTTCTTATGGAGGATGGGAGGGAAATATCATTTTGAAACTTTTCTAAAATTCATCTAGAACAACAAACCAAAAAATAAACATAGTACAATACTCTAATATAATAACATATTAAAAACAACAAGTGACACAATATCCTGATTGCCACAGGAATCTAGAAATAAACTCTAATAAACATTAAGAGCTTAATACAGAGAAGAGTGTCGTAAATTCATAAGTCAATGAGAGAAACATCACATTAGAAAAAGATAGATAAAGTTTAGAAATGCACAGTTCTAAACAGAATATCCTATAAAGAATTATTACATTTTCATTATTTTTATAGTAGTAAAAAATTGGAAACAACCTAAATGATATAGTGATAGGTAAATCTTAAATTGTCTACCCCTGTAATAAGCTATTAAGTAGTCATTAAAAATTATTTCCTGCCAAACATGAAAAAATGTTCATTGTTTCTGATCATCAGAGAAATGCAAATCAAACCACCCTGAGATATCACCTAACCCCAGTAAGATTAGCCCATATCACAAAGTCCCAAAGCTGCAGATGCTGGCATGCATGTGGAGAGAGGGGAATACTTTTACATCGTTGGTGGGACTGCAAACTAATACAGCTTCTTTGGAAAGAAGTATGGAGAATCCTCAAAGAACTCAAATTGGAGCTTCCATTTGACCTCATAATCCTTCTACTAGGCATCTACCCAGAAGAAAAAAAAAAATCATTTTGTCGTAAAGACATTTGCACTAGATTATTTATTGCAGCTCAATTTACCGTTACCAAGATATGGAAACAACCTAAATGCCCATCAGCTCAGGAATGGATTAACAAATTGTGGTATATGCATACCATGGAATATAATTCAGCCATAAAAAAGATGGTGACTTAACATTTTTTTAATTAACCTGGATGGAGTTGAAACACATACTTCTTAGTAAAGTATCACAAGAATGGAAAAGCAGTTATCCATTGTGCTCAATACTAATATGAAGCCAGTAGACAATCTAATGCATGCCCACATAGGGGAAAAACTCATTTCAGTTCAAGTTGGAGCGGGCACAAGTGAAGGGGAGAAGGGAGAGGGAGTGAGATGCTCTCACTGAATAGGCATGGTGTGGGGGTGTTTGGCATACCTTTTAAGGGGGGGACATAACTACAAGAGGGACTCTCCCTAGCACATTCTAATATTTTGATCTGATTATTTGTACCCTCACATTAACCTTAAATAAAAATAAAAAATAATTAAAAAAATTATTTTTTGCCTATAGTCCAAGCTATCTTGAGGCAAGAGGATCAGCTAAACCTAGGAGTTTGTGGTTGCTGTGAGTTATGAAGACACTATGGCACTCTACCTAGGGTGACAGTGAGACTCTGTCTCAAAAAAAATAAATAAATAAGGCCAGGTGCAGTGGCTCATGCTAGTAATCCCTGCACTCTGGAAGGCCGAGGTGGGTGAATTGCCTGAGCTCATGGGTTGGAGACCAGCCTGAGCAAGAGCAAGACCCCATCTCTAAAAAATAGCTGGATGTTGTGGCAGGCACCTTAGCCCCAGCTACTCGGGAGGCTGAGGCAGGAGAATCACTTGAGCCCAAGAGTTTGAGGTTGCTGTGAGCTATGATAGTATAGCACTTTACTGAGGGTGACAAAGGGAGACTTTATCTCAAAACAAACAAATAAGTAAATAAAATTATTTTCTAAGATATTTGAGAAAGTCATATAATTTTGTAATGCAGTATTAAGTTAGAAAAGCATTGTGGTGTCAATTTAGTACATACATTTATACATACGTAGGAAGAAATGAAATGGAAAGACCTGAGCATACCAAAATAACCCTAGTAATTGCTTTGATGTTCACACAGGTGGTTTTGACTAACTCAGAAGATGAATAGGGCCAATACATAAGCTCTGCCAGTAAGCTAACTAATCTACAGATAATGCTGGGTCCTGTGTTTAATTTATGAGAAAAGCATCAGTTTTTGGATGGAATAATCTTTTTAAAGTCAGGTTTTCTGAAAGTTTTCATAGTTTTAGAGTTTCAAGTAATATCACATCATCAACTTAAACAGAAATGATTTTTCTAAAGTCTTCATAGATAAGATCCTAAACTAGGGTATCTTTTCTTTTATTTTAGTAAGATTTGATGTTTGTTAATTGAATATAAAAGAATCTGATAAATGAGCCGCCTTCTATATGCCAGGCACTTTACCTATTTAAGGTTTGCAGTTTTGAAAATAATAATGATTGTTATAAAATATACAAGCAATGGAGAACTGTCAGAATTATTAATACTTCCTATTTCAGGTTCAACTGCTGTCAGTAGTGTATAGTAGTGTGTGTATCTTCTAGAACTTTTTTCACACATTTATGGTTTGTATGCTTTTGGTTTCTTCCAAAATCACGATAGTACTATATACATTGTTATTTATCTTGTCCTTTTCTTCTGGTAATATATTGTGACTACATTTCTATTGGAACACATATGCATACACATCTATATAATTCTTTTTTTTTTTTTTTGAGACAGAGTCTTTCCTCTTTTAGAGTGCAGTAGCATCATCTTAGCCCACTGCAACCTCAAACTCCTAGGCTCAAGCAATTCTTTTGCATCAGCCTCCCAAGAAGCTGGGACTCTGGGTGCTACCCATGAATCCCATCTAATTTTTCTATTTTTAGTAGAAATGGCTGTTGCTCAGATGGTCTCGAACTCCTGAGCTTTAGCAATCCTCCTGCCTCAGCCTCCTGTAGTTCTGGGATTCACTGAGCCCAGCCTACTTCATTCTTTTTAATAGTATAGTTTTAATTTATACTTCCTTCTCTATATTTTCACCTGGTAAAGGGAAAACAAAAAGTAGTACAGTTATTTGAGTAATTCTCACAGTTACATGTGCAGAAAACCAAAAAGGAAGGTTTATCCAGAGGAGAGATTTAGCATTCTCTGCTAAGATCACTCAAAATAACCTAAACTTACTTCATTTGAATTTATAGTTGATAGTGTTCTGTGTCCAATGCATTCTCTGGTATGTGCATTGTTGCTGGACCCCATACTCAAAATAATTCCCAAGTAATTCTCAGAATCAATTAAGAGCTATAGTTGTCTGATAGGATTAAAGGCTGCTAGATAACAGAATTTAAAACGCCAAAATGAATGGCAATGGTTATATCCAACCCCTATCTAAAATTTCCACCCGGTGCTTGATTTACTACTTTGTGTTTTGGTAAGAGAGGGGAGAATCAGAAAAGAGGGTAAGAAAGATAAAAAGAAAAAGGAGAGTAATCTTAGAACAGTTTCAGTTTTTTATTCTTTCCATGTCTATATGTACTATATGAAATGACAAGAAGGGAGCCTTTTGTCCTTTCCTTGGGGTACATGATGTTACATTAGACATTATAAAACTGAAGTAGAGAATCATGTTGAGTAATAATTTTAGTACTTGCTGAATGATGTAAGCCCACTTTTTTTTTTATTGAGACAGAGTCTCACTTTGTCACCCTCTGTAGAGTGCAGTGCTGCCATAGCTCACAGCAACCTCAAACTCTTGGGCTCAAGTGATTCTCTTCCCTCAGCCTCCTGAGCAGCTGGGACTAACGGGTGCCTGCCACAATGCCTAGCTATTTTTAGAGATGGGATCTCACTCTTACTCAGGCTCATCTCGAATCAGTAAGCTCAGGCAATCTACCTGCCTCCTGCCTCAGCCTCCCAGAGTGCTAGGATTACAGAGTGCCTCTTGTGATGGAATTAAATCTGTTTTTTTTATTTTCAAAATGAAATTTTTTTCCCCCTGATTTTAAAGGTAACATATACTCATTGTAATAATGTTAAAAACACCAAGTTGTATAAAGAAGAAAATAAAAGTCAACTATAATATCATTATTACTGGTTTTGGTGGGGTGGGGTTTGAGACAGAATTTCACTTTGTTGCCCTTGGTAGAGTGCTTTGGCATCACAGCTCACAGGGAACTCCAACTCCTGGACTTAGGCAATTCTCTTGCCTTAGCCTCCTGGGTAGCTGGGACTACAGGCACCCGCCACAACACCCGGCTATTTTTTATTGCAGTTTGGCCAGGGTTCAAACCTGCCACCCTCAGTATATGGGCTGGTGCCCTACCCACTGAACCACAGGTGCCACCTATTATTACTTTTTTTATATGATCCTTTAAATAATTTTGTTTTGTGAAGATGGAATTATAAATATTCTTCTGTGAAGTCCTTTTTTATGTTCTATAATACAACTTGTTTCCATTTTCTACTATGGACATTTAACTCCTTTCCAGTTTTGAGGTATTATAAATAATACCTACATATAAAGTTTAAGGCTTTAGTGAAATATATTTTTAAATATTCATAGACTTTTAAAATGAATAATAATTTTTAATATTTCAGACATTTAAAAACATAAGGAATAATTTTATAAATTTTACTGTATAGAATTTTAGAAAAATTCTCTTTAGAGTTTTACAATAGTGGAAGTACAGTGTTTTTTTTCAGTTTACTAAAAATGAAATCTTGTTTGTCATTTAGATGCCACCTGGGACTGCAAGACCAGCTTCTCGTAGTGGTTCCATAGGGGCAGGTGGAGTTCTGTCTTCTCAAATCAAAGTTGCTGATCGTCCTGTAACACAACAAGGTTTGAGTGGAATGAAAACTGGGATGAAAGGTATCTGTTTATAAAGATGAGCACATTTTATATAAAAAGTATTATAGTATCATAAATCAGAGTTATAGCATGTAAGAATTATTACATATAATTATAGCATGTAATCAGAATTATAGTATGTAATTCTTATTCTTTGATTCACAAAATTGTTGTGAGGGTGAAATAACAAAATATATATGAAAGGACGTTGTGAACTAGAAAGCTACATAAATATAAAAGCTATTTTATTTTCATTTTCTGAACATGAAACTTCAAGCTCAAGATTAAAAGGTAGATTCCTAGTACTACATGGAAATTTTTTTTTTTTTTTGAGACAGAGTCTTACTTTGTCACCCCTGGCAGAGTGCCCTGGTGTCATAGCTCTTCTAACTCTTGGACTCAAGTGATTCTCTTGCCTCAGCCTCCCAAGTAGCTGGGACTACAGGCACTGCAACAACACCTGGCTATTTTTAGAGATGGGGTCTTGCCCTAGCTCAGGCTGGTCTTGAACTTGTGCGCTCTGGCAGTCTACCCACCTCCACCTCCCAGAGTGCTAGGATTATAGGCATGAGCCACCATGCCCAGCCTTATATGGAAATATTCTGAAATACTTTTTGATAGTTTCCATATCAAAATGGACCCTCTTAAAATATTTGTGTATTTATGAGGAGTCAAGAAATGTTATCTCTTTCTGATAATTTAATATTCTGTTTATAATGTTTCAGTAAGAAAATAAGAGGCTGGTGTGTGGTGGCTTATGGAAGGCTGAGATGAGTGGATTGCTTGAGCTCAGGTGTTCGAGACCAGCCTGAATAAAAGCAGACCCTGTCTCTAAAAAATAGCTGAGCATTGTGGTAGGTGCCTGTAGTCCCAGCTCTTTGGGCACGAGGATTGCTTGAGCCCAAGAGTGTGAAGTTACTGTGTGCTGTGATGCCACAGCACTCTATAGAGGGTGACAAAGTGAGACTGTCTCAAAAAAAAAAAAAAAAAAAAAAGAGAAAAGAAAAGAAAATGAGGCTAGCACATAGATTTATACTGAATCTCCCATTATGCTTCTCTATATGTGTTTAAACAAGCATAAAGGTACACTATATGTTACAAGTCAAAAATTTGATCTCTGGTGTATGTCTATATATATATAAAGAGTTTTTATTTTCTGTTTTTGTGACAGATGATTTATCAGGAATGAAGATATTCCTCTGGTATAGAGTTAATTATTAATATAAGACATTATACATACTACTTTTATAATATAATATATCATCCCTTTTAGGAGACTTAAATTGTCTTTGTTATAATACCACTTAGCTTGCTAAATATTAAAAACCAATTGATTATTTAGAATTCTTTGCTTAATAATTAGTATGAAAAAATCAGTTAAAATTATATAATAATTATCTGAACCTTAAAAAATTTGAAAAGTTATTCAGAAATGTTTATATGTTTATTACTTATGAAAAACATTAAGAGTAAAAAACATACCAAAATTTCATAGTGAATTCATTAAATATTTATCATGGTATTAATTCCTCTTTCAAAACAGAACCAGTGTCATTTAAGATAGTTTCTAACAATATACCTCAAAGCCTTACATTAGAGATTTCTTAGTTTTTGCCATTATACCTCAAAGCCTTACCTGAGAGATTTCTGATTGCTACCAATATGTACCACTCTCTGCTGTAACTTTTGTTCTTAGCTGCTATATTGCCCCTTTGCTCATTATAATGAGACATTACCTTTCTTTTTTTTTTTTTTTTTTTTTTTTTTTGAGACAGAGCCTCAAGCTGTCCCCCTGGGTAGAGTGCCGTGGCATTACAGCTCACAGCAACCTCCAACTCCTGGGCTCAAGCGAGTCTCCTGCCTCCACCTCCCAAGTAGCTGGGACCACAGGCGCCCGCCACAACGCCCGGCTATTTTTTGGTTGCAGCTGTCATTGTTGTTTGGCGGGTCCGGGCTGGGGATTCGAACCCGCCACCTTAGGTGTACGTGGCTGGCGCCTTAGCCGGTTGAGCTATAGGCGCCGAGCCGACATTACCTTTCTATTCTTATCATAAACCTTATAGTCAGTACTCCATAGGCTTGTATACTTTGCTGGGCATTTCATCTCAACAGGGATTGAGATATTTATCTTAGCAATACTTTCTTAGTTCTACTGAAATGTAAAATCATGTTTCTAAAATGTCTCTGAGACAAAGGAAACATAGATATTCTTGAGGAATATCTACACTGTCCAATATGATGACCATTAGTCACATTTAGCCACTTAATTAAAATTAAGTAAAAATTCAGTTTCCCTGTAATACTAGCCAAATTTCAAGTGTTCAGTATTCCCACTGTCCATTTTATTGGACAGTGTTAATATAGAATTTCTTATCTTTGTATAAAGTTCTCTTGGACAACTCTGTGCTAGATTTTTCCTTTAAACTCAGTAGAGGCTACTTGTCTGTAGAGTCTACTTGTCTTAACAGTCCCACCCCTCTATTATCCTTGTGGTCTTCATTCAAGCTTCCCTTATGTCATGATTCTAACGTATTAGTTTTCCTTTCCATTTCAGGGATTATTCTTGATTTATTGGGATATTCATGAGGACCGTCTGAGAATTGTAAAGTGTAATTCTGGTTATGCATTGGACTTGCTATAAAAATGGCATTTTAAAACTGAATACTAACACTTAAAAACATTTTTTTTTAGGTCCCCAGAGGCAAATTTTAGACAAATCTTACTATCTTGGGCTTCTTAGGTATGTTAAATAAACACATCTTTTCTGTGCATGATCAAGAAGTTTTAGCTGTGGTACTTTTTGAAATAGTTAGGTATCTGTTGAGTTTTAAGAATTATTTTGCATTCTGACATAATATCTGGTTAATTTTGCTATATTCCAAAATACATGTGATAATAAATTACGCTGAAAATTTTAAATTTTATATATTTGCATGTATGTGAAGTATTCATTTTGTGTCAGTCCATTTAGGTTGCTAGAACAAAGTACCTGAGATTGGGTAGTTTATAAATAATAGAAATTTATTTATTACTATCTGGAGACTGGGAGGTCCATGATGAAATAGCCAGGAAGATCAGTGTCTAGTGAAGGAAATCTAGGTGTCCTCATGGTAGAAGAGAAGGAGGGCAAAGAAAGGCCTAGCTAGTTTTCTCCTACTATCTATCCTATCCTATCCTATCCTATCCTGCCATGCCATGCCATCCCATCCCATCCCATCCCATCCTATTCTAGCCCATCTGGTCCCATCTGGTCCCATCTCATCCCATCCCATTCCATCCTCAGTGTCTTGCTGTGTCACCCCAGGTTGGAGTACAGGTGCCAGGATAGCTCACTGCAACTTCAAACTCCTAGACTCAAGTGATATTCTTGCCTCAGTGTCATAAGTAGCCAGGACTGCAGTTGCATACCACTATTAATGTTTTTGTTTTTAGAGAAAAGGTCTTGCTATGTTGCCCATGCTGGCCTTAAAACTCCTGAGCCCAGGCAGTCCTCCTGCCTTAGCCTCTCAAAGTGGTGGGATTATAGGCATTAGTCTCCATGGCTGGCCTTTCCAGCCTTTTATAAGGCACCAATTCCATCCAGGAGGGCAGAGTCCTCATGGCCTAATTACCTCATAAAGGCCCTATCTCTTAACTCTATTATCTGGAGATTAAGTTTTAACATGAATTTTGGAGAGAACATAAACATTCAAACCTTAGCATATTTAAAGTTAACTTTTTTGTGGTGTATGATGTACATTATTTGGGTGATGGATACACCAAAAGCCCAGACTTTACTATACTATATATATGTGTAATGGAAGTCAACTTTTACTCCTAAATTTATTAAAAGTTTTTTAAAAGGAAAGAAACAAAACACAAAAAAGTTCACTTTTTCATCTAATGATAAGAATAATCATTAATGCTTTTTTTATAATTATTCTAAAATATATTATTCTATCATTAAAATGTCACCAGTTACTCTAATAAGAAAAGGAAATGTGTGCTTATGATACTTGAATCAGTGCAGAGTTGTGTATAAATATGTACATGGGTAATTGCTATAAATGTATTTGATTTTGAATTCATAAGCTTTGTTATATATCTTTGAATATGTATCTCTACACATATTCAAAAGGAACTTTTTTCTTATTTTCTTCCTACCATTTTCTCTGCACAAATGTCCTACTGTCCTATCTTCATTTTCCCATTTTACTTTATGTTCTTTGTGGCTCATCATTTGTATCTCTTTCTCTCTTACGTCCATTTCATTTAATCCACCTTTCCTTTGTGCCCTAAAAGCCCTATTTTCTTTCTTAGTCCTTGCTGATTCTCAGTTACCTGGTTCTTTTTGAGTCTCAAACTCCTAGAAGGCAATAAAGGATATAGGTTCCCCCATCTGTCCTCAAAGCTAAGATCAATAAGAAAGGTAGTAAAGCCATCAGTTGTGTGGTATTTCTGATATTCAGCCACGTTTTGATCAAAAGAAGGAAAGGAAATACAGCTATTCCTGATCATTTCATTACCTTTCTTCTCCAGGATCTGTGCTTCTGCTCAAAGAATAGCTCTAGCTACTTGTACAATTATTTGGCCCTAGAGCAATGGTTCTTAACTGGTGGTGATTTTGCCCACCAGAAAACATTTGGCAGTTTCTACACATATTTCTGGTTATGACAGCTGAGGTTAGGGGGAGGTGTTACTGGCATTCAGACCTGGACTGCTGCTGTCTGTCCCACAGTACACAAGATAGCTCCCAACATAAAGTACATAACTATTCACTGACCCAAAGTGTCATTAGTGCTACTGTTGAGAAAAGGTCCCCTAGCGGGTAGCAGAAGCTTCAAGGAAGATGACAGGTATCTGCATCTGTCTATGGATTGTACTGGTTTGACCAGTCCTCCATTCTGGTCCATTTTCATCTTTATCAATCTATATCAGTTTCTCTCATCAGTTGAGTAGAATAAGATAGGATATATTTCATTTTTAATAAATTAAGCTACTTAAACTTTTTTCCTTTTTCTAGGTAGTTTCTCAAAATCCTTTGTATTAATTACTATTGCACATTTATGAAAAGTAAATTATGTTTAACTAGAAAGAGTCTTTTCTGGATTAGAAATATTGCTGACTTTTCTTATTTCTTTTCAATTAGAAGTAAAATAAGTGAACTTACAACTGAAATTAACAAACTTCAGAAAGAAATAGAAATGTACAATCAAGAGAATTCAGTGTATTTGTCATATGAAAAGAGGTAAGTAATTTTGCAGTTAAAATATGTAAGATCTTTTTTAGGTACTTGTACTACCGAATAAGCATTCAAAACTCATTCAGTATTTTTGATTTATAATACTGAATTTGTAGTTATCCAGTATATTCATATTGTTCATCTGCTTATTTATTTATTTTGTGTTTACAGGGCTGAAACTTTAGCTGTTGAAATCAAAGAGTTTCAAGGACAACTAGCAGATTACAACATGGTATTTGCTCTCTTCTGAGAAAATTTCCTTGGAACATTTTCATTGCTTTTTACCACTTTAAAAATATAATATTTTATTTATTTATTTATTTATTTTTTTGAGACAGAGCCTCAAGCTATCCCCCTGGGTAGAGTGCCATGGCATCACGCTCACAACAACCTCCAACTCCTGGGCTCAAGCGAGTTTCCTGCCTCAGCCTCCCAAGTAGCTGGGACTACAGGCGCCTGCCACAACGCCCGGCTATTTTTTGGTTGCACCCATCATTGTTGTTTGGTAGGCCCAGGCTGGGGATTCGAACCCGCCACCTTAGGTGTATGTGGCTGGCGCCTTAACTGCTTGAGCCACAGGCGCCGAGCCAAAAAAAATATAGTATTTTAAATACCAAGTAATACGTGAATACATGTTATGAAAGACTAAAACCATAGAAAGTGCTGAGAATAAATTGCCCCTTTCCATTCTCTCATTTCTCTCCGTAGAAGCAACTTGGCTTAACAGATTGATATGTATTTCTCCTGTATTTTTTAAAAAATATTTTAACTTACAAATACACACCCATACTTTTTCTATTACTATTAAAATAAAAATTTAAATAATCATTTAAAAAATAGCTAAAATTCACTCACATTAAAAACTTCAATGCTTTAAAAGCACGTTATCCCTTTCTATGGAGTATTGTCATTATAAAATTTTAAGAATTCATTATAAGAATTATTTAGCATGCACATTACTCTATGCATATGTGTTATTCAAAATAGTATGTGCATTCTTTTGAAACAGAGTATATAACATAACCGTACTGTATGTTTATGTTTAGAAGGATGCTTCTAAATGTGGAATTTCAGAAGCAACAGTCCTTTTGGCAGTGTTGATAAAAGCCTCAATCCTTGGGGTGATCTTGGCCCCATGAAAATTTCTATTGTCAAAATTTTATTTATTTCAACTCCCAAATTGCTGTAGGCTGCAACAGTATCTGGATTTAATGGAAGAGACAAAGTATTAATCTCACTACTCCTACCAAGATACAGTGTTACAGACCAAGCAGGGTGGCTGATGCTTATATTCCTAGCACTCAGGGAGGCCAAGGTGGGAGGATCCCTTGAGCTTAGGAGTTTGAGACCACCCTGAGAAAGTATAAGACTCTGCCTCTACTAAAAATAGAAAAATTAGCCAAGAGTTGTGTCAACACATGTAGTAACAGCTACTCAGAGGCTAAGACAGGAGGATTGCTTGAACCCAAGAGTTTGAGGTTGATGTGAACTAGGCTGATGCCACAGCACTTTAGCTTGGGTGACAGGGTGAGACTATGTCTCAAAAAAAAAAAATAGTGTCACATAGCATGATGATATTTGGCTATACTCCCAGCTACTCAGGAGGTTGCGGCATATACAAATTGCTTGAGTCCCAGGAGCTTGAGATCAGCCTGGACAACAGAGTGACACCCAGTTGCAACAAAACAAACAAACAAACAAAACTAAAAAACAAAAAAAGAAGGTATTATTAGAAAAAGTAAGAAACATTCTACCATAATAGACAAATTATGATTTACCTATTTGATATTGTTATACTTACAAAATTTTATTGATTATAGTATATTACGGATCTTAAATTTGCAGGAGTATACAGTGTCTAATATTTTGTGGGGATGAATATTCAGTGAGATTTTCTTTTTTTTTCCTTTTTTTTGAGACAGAGTCTCACCCTGTCACCCAAGCTACAGTGCTGTGGCATCAGCCTAGCTCACATCAACCAGTCTCAAGCTATTGCCCTTTGTAGAGTGTCGTGGCATCATGGCTCACAGCAACCTCAAACTCTTGGGCTTAAGCAATACTCTTGCCTCAGCCTTCCAAATAGCTGGGACTAGAGGTACCCACCACAATGCCTAGCTATTTTTTTGTTGCAATTGTCATTGTTGTTTAGCTGTCCAGGGCCGGGTTCAAACCTGCTAGCCTAGGTGAATGTGGCTGATGCTGTAACCACTGTGCTACGGGCACTGAGCCCAGTGAGATTTTCTTAATAAATGATGTTTTGTTTTAAATATAATAAAAAAAGTTTTTTAATATAGGAAATGATATTAGATGGAAGAGATTTTTAGTTTTTCTGGAATGCATTATATCAATTACCTTATATAAATATATGAACATGTAAAATACACTGTTCATAGGCTTAATGAGCTAATACCTGATATAGAAAAAACACTTAGCTAGGTGTCTGACATATAGTTATTACTCAATAAATGTTAGGTCAAACTAGCACTTATTATTTATAAAACAAGTGAACAAGGTAACATATGCTAATATATATTCCATTAATAAAGCCACTTTCAGAATCTATTATAGTCAAGTAGTTTGCTTTTAGTAAACCTCCATTCAAATTCTTGCTTTACCACTTGCTAAATTTCTTTATTGGTAAAATGTGGACAATAATATCTATTTCCTAGAATAATTGTGAAGTCTAAGTGAGTTAATACACATAATGGTACCAAAACAATGTTTGATACAGGTAAATACACTGTGTTAGCTATTGATATCACTGCCCAGCCTTTTGAAGTAGGCTTACTTCAATAGTGTTCTTTCTGTGCCTTTCCCTGTTGATTTTTTGTTAATTTTCAGAAGATGAAGAAATCTTTTTATATTTTCACTAGTTAAATTTATAAATCAGCTAATGCACCTCTTCCCTGGGGGAGGGAGGAAGTAACAGATCTTCCCCAAATTTTTATCTTTTCTAGACTCTTCTTTATAAGCTTAGCCATCTTTTTAGAGCAGGCAAAGCTCTACAAAGTATGATTTGCAGGAAGAATAGTTTATTACTACTCACTCTTCCACATAAAAAAATGTAGTTGTTGGCCAACTGCATAGTATATACTTACTTAGGTAACTGAATATTTATTTTTCTCTTAGAAGATAAAATAATTGGAAATATTAACACTTAAAGTATTACTCATTATTTGTAGGACTGAATATCTGTATTATTCTTTATAGAGAATTAATGGGTTTTTAAAATTTTTATTTTTAGTTGGTGGATAAACTTAATACCAATACTGAAATGGAAGAAGTAATGAATGATTACAACATGGTAAGAAAATTTATAAGTATAAACAATTGATTTATAAACTATATACTCCAAAACAAAGCATTTATATCTGGAAATAGTTTGATAAGACCTTAGGGACTTTTGAGATTTGTATTACTCTAATTCTAAATATGACTATATGTTCAGTTTCCTTAATCATTCTTTTTAAATCACATCCTGTTAGATTGGTTGGATGTTCAATGTCTGTTTGCAAGGCTTTGTTTGAACTTGTCCTACACTCAGCATTAGAGAGTGCCATCTTTATGTTCTTGTGTATAAATTAGTTTACAGTACTTCTGCATTAATTTTTGCATGTATGGAGCTGAGTATTCAGTGGAGATAAATGTTACCTTTACATAGTTTTTATAACAGTGAAAGAAAAATGAATAGCTATGAAGTCAGACATATACATACTAACTTTTGATTGCTAAGTGAGAATTTGTGTTCAACTTTTGTAGATTAATTATTTGGTAGAAAACTAAAAAATATGTTAATAGCTAGCTTCTTTTGATTATAAGCATTTTGATGAAAATAACGTCCAACTCATAACTTATGTAACTTATAATTTATTTACCTGTTCAAAGACCATTCTGTAAAAACACAGAATTTATAAAATGACTTCTAAATTTGGGGTTCTGAAACCATGATAATTTAGTAGACAGGAGAATTCATAATTAAAAATTATATTTTAATTAGATATTGAAAGTAAAAACTTCTATATGTGTTTTGTCAGTTATTTGGGATAAGTCACTATTCTAGGCTGAGTATGCACAAGTAGAGTCCATCTGGGAGTATACACAGGTCAAATTCAGAATAAAACTTGTGCTAGTTCAGAATTCAGCATATTACTAATCAGGTATTTATTGAACACCTGATAAATTCTTAAAATGCTGTTTATATAAATCAAGTTTACATTGGACTGTTTCACAGATTATTCAAGAACATTGAATATTCCTGGTGTGAGACTGTGATGACTGTTAAAAGGATGGTTTCTTTTTGTCTAGTACCATTGTTCATTAAACAATTACTGTATGTTTTTTCTTCATATGTGGCAGTAGGATTATTATAATAATTTCTCATTTATTTTATAGTCAGAATAGCCTTTAAAGAAAAAGTTTTGTTTAAAGGTTAATTTTTTATCACTAATTTCTATGTTTTGTTTATTCAGCTTAAAGCTCAAAATGATCGAGAGACACAAAGTATGGATATCATATTTACTGAAAGACAAGCGTAAGTGCAACTCTTTTCAAACACAAACAGATTCAGTAATGAGCTTTATTAGGTCGTTTAATTTGTGAGTCATTTATTTTCTTATTTTCTTATAAATTTTAACTGTTTTTCCCTCTTTCTTTTTTTTCTGAGACAGGGTCTGACTCTGTTCCTGGTGCTCAGCCTGCCTAGTAGCTGAGACTACAGATGTGCATCACCATGCCCAACCAATTTTTCTAGTTTTTGTAGAGATGGGGTCTTGCTCAAGCTAGTCTCTGACCTCAGTCAGTCTTTCCCACCATGGCCTCCTAAAGTGCTAGAATTATAGGCATGAATGCACAGCCCTCCTGTTTCTTTTTTTATTTAAAAAAAAATTAGATATTTGTGGCTGGCTGCTCTATTTCAGTGGTTATGGCGCTGGCTCCGTACACCCAGGCAGTGAGTTCAAACCTCACTTGGGCCTGGTAAACAATAACAACAACAACAACAAAAATTCAAAAAAAGTTTGATATTTGTAATCAAAGTTTTATTTATGTTATCTGTCATCTTCATTTACCATGAAAAAACTAAATTCTGGGTGGCTGGAGAGTTGCTTGAGGCCAGGAGTTGAAAAATAGCCTGAGCAAGAGCAAGGCCCCATTTCTACAAAAAATAGAAAAATTAGCTGGGCGTAGTGGAACACACCTATAGTCCTAGCTACTCAGGAAGCTGAGGTAGGATAATCACTTGAGCCCAGGAGGTTACTGTGAGCTATGATGCCACTGCACTCTAGCCTAAGCAACAGAGTGGGATTCTATCACAAATAAACAAACAACACCCTAATTCTGTAGAAAGAAAATTACCTCATAGATTATATATATAGGATTTTTGCCTCGGGAGCTGCAAATCCAAAGTGGATAAGAACATCTTTATAGTTACCATTTGTAATTTTAGCATGGGCTTTTAACTTTATGATTTATATTTTAGCCCAAGTCTACTGAAAGACACATTATAAGTCAGTAGACTATTTATATTATTATATTAGCATTGATATTTAATAGTTACATTAGTAACCTATGTCCTATATGTAGATTATATGTGCATTTTTATATATAACCTATTTAAAGACTAAATACCAACTAACTCTAACTCTGGTAATAAGAGTAGCTGTGGCAGTAGATATAATATAGTTATCATAGTTATTTCTCATTAAGTTTTTCTATTCAGACAGAGTCCCTCTTTGTTTCCCTGGATAATGCTGTGGCATCATAGCTCACAGCAACCTCCAACTCTTGGGCTCAAGTGATCCTCTTGCCTCAGCTTCCCAAGTAGCTGGTGCCTGCCACAATGCCTGGCTCTCATTAACTTTTTGACCTTAATCAAATGTCATCTAAGGCAAATGCAAACAAAGAAGATAACCTGGGCCTGGGTTTTTTGTTTGTTTGGTTGGTTGGTTGGTTTTTGTTTTATTTTTTTTTGGGCAATTTTTGGCCAGGGCTGAGTTTGAACCCACCACCTCCGGTGTATGGGGCCAGCACCCGACTTCTTTGAGCCACAGGCACCACCTGATAACCTGTTTTTTTATAAACATGCAAGCATAGTATGTCCCAGAAATTAATAGTAATGTCTTTGAGGACAAAGGTAATAATTAACCAAAACTACCAAAATTCAGTAAGACCAGATAATACTATCAGGCATAAATAGTAATTCATTTGATGAAGAATAGGACATTAAAAAATAGTGCTAAAATGTTTGAAAGATAAATGTTGATTTTAAGTAATTACTTTGCCATATATATCATTTGATGTTGCTGTGTAGTACTTTCTTAAAAACTGACAATACTGGCAGACCATTTCCTTAGACAAAGAAATTTTTGGTGACCAACTTTCCCCCTTTTTTTGTTATCCTGACATTAAATCATTTATCAGATATTTGTCATTTGCTATGTATAAGATACTCTTCTAGGTACCTAAAAGAATATGAAACATATAAGCTATAATTTGCTGAAAGACCTTAAAGAGTTCAGAGTATTCATTTATTTTCATCATTATCTTGAAAGTTACATAATACCCAGGCTAATTTATAAATATTCTATTTACATGTTGTACAGATATACCCAAAAACATAATTCTAAGATTTTAAATTTAAGAATGTCATAGATGTTTGTCTATTTGGTTTATCTATGAAGAAAAACATTTTTCAAATATGGTAATTTGTTTTGAAGAGGTCATCAGTTTCAGAAGTGTATCTGTAATTTGTAATTGAAGCTGAGTGAAGTACTAGGTTCCCCTGTTCTTTTTAAGCAGAAATTTGAATTAAGAACAAAAATTATAGCTGAGCACTGTGGTCAGGTATACCTCCTAGCTACTCAGGAGACAGAGGAAAGAGGATTGATTGCTCAAGCCCAGGGGCTTGAGGTTGCTGTGAGCTATAGAGTCACAGGACTCTACCCAGGGCAGCAGATAGAGACAAAGAAATAAAGAACAGAAGTTATTTTTACAAAGTTACTTTTTTTTTATGTGTTTATGATTTTTTTTTATTTCTTATAGCATAACTATATACATTAATGCAGTCATGGGGTACAGTGTGCTGTTTTCATATACATTTTGAAATACTCTCATCAAACTGGTTAACATAATAACCTTCATGTCATTTTCTTAGTTATTGAGTCAAGACATTCATACTCTGCTTTTAGAAAGATTCACTTGTACCCTTGTAAGATTAACCATAGAGGTGACCCCACCAATCACCCTCCCTCTCCCCATCCATCCTCCTTTCCCACCCCCTTCCCATATTCTAAGGCTATAATTAGGTTATGACATTCCTATAAAAGCTATGAATTAGTTTCAAAGTAGGGCTATGTACATTGGATACTTTTTCTTCCATTCTTGAGATACTTTGCTAAGAAGAACATTTTCTAATTCCATCCATATAAACATGAAGGACAAAAAGTCTCCATCTTACTCAGGAATAAAAACAAAGCAGGAGGAATCACGCTACCAGACCTCAGACTATACTACAAATCCATAGTGATCAAAACAGCATGGTACTGGCACA